TGTGTGTGTGTGTGTGTGTGTGTGTGTGTGTGTGTGTGTGTGTGTGTGTTCTGATGATGATTTTTCTTATAGTATATTGTAGGAAATGACTTCTAGGGGTGCAAATTTGAGATTCACTTATCTTATAGAATGCTGCAACATTTGGAAGAGTGGGAATATTGTAATCAGTAAGATAATTCACTATAGAAGAAATATGAATAGTTATCAAGCATAGAGAGATCTCCAGAATTATAAATATTCTAAATTAAATAAAAAAATGGTCAACATTTCATATTCTTTTAAGTTGGGTGAAAAGCAGGTAAAATTGAATATTTAACAGAGAAGAATTAGAAAATGACAAAAACATAGATTATCACATTATGAATTGATACAGCTGTTTAATATTTTATTTTAAGATGCTCACAGTTAAACTAACTAATCATTAAAATCACAGAAGTCATGTATAGTAAAGGTTAAGTAATGTTTTGCTACATACATGAAAAATAACCTGAGTTCCTGGCAGTAAGCATATCTACCATGTGAAGCATTTGTTATTCCATCGAGGAAATTTAAATTCTGTTTTGTCTTTTGTTAATTTGTTTGATTGGATGGTTTGTTTGTTTTTGGTTTTATTTGGTTGGTTTTCTTTGTAAACCTCACAGTAACTTTTTGTTAACTATAGGCCCAATGTTATAATATAGGACTGTCTTAGTTAGGGTTTCTATTGGATCCAATGAAATACCATGACCAAAAGCAACTTAGGGAGGAAGAGGTTTGTTTAGCTTACACTTCTGCATTTTCCTTCATCATTGAAGGAAACCAGGACAGGAATGAAAAGCGAACTGAAACCTGGAGGTAGGAGCTGATGCAGAGGCCATGGAGGGGAGCTGATTACTGACTTGTTCCTCATGACTTGCTCTGCCTGCTTTCCTCTAGAACCCAGAACCACCAGCCCAAGAATGGCCAAAATGAAAATGGCTGGGCTCTCCCACATCCATCAGTAGTTAAGAAAATGCCCAATAGGCTTGCCTACAGGTCTATCTTTTGTTTGTTTGTTTGTTTTTGTTTTTGTTTTTCGAGACAGGGTTTCTCCTTGTAGTTTTGTGCCTTTCCTGGAATTCACTCTGTAGTCCAGGCTGGCCTCGAACTCACAGAGATCTGCCTGCCTCTGCCTCCCGAGAGCTGGAATTAAAGGCGTGTGCCACCACCACACGGCACCTACAGATCTATTTTAGGAGACATTTTCTCATTTGGTATTCCCTCCTCTTTTATGACTCTAGCTTGGGTCAAGTTGACATAAGTAGCCAGGACTGCAGACTCCTTGTCCACTTGACACACAAAATCATCACTGTTAGGCCACAACCTATCCTTCCTTGTTCATCCCCAAGACTGCACATTAATAAAGACATCACAATATAAAACACATTAAAAAAAACTTAAAAAGCCTCTTAGCCTTACAAATTCAAATACTTTAAAGTTGTCTCTTTAAAAATATTCAGTATTACTGCTTTTAAAATCCAATTTCCCCCTCTCTTTCTTAAAGGCTTAAGCCTCTTAACTGTGGGCCTAACTATGGACTCCTGTGGGACAGAAAACTGTAATCAGCATATATTATATAAAATTTATTATCAATAAAAGAAAAACATAATTATTTCTATAATTATTTTGTGATTTTATATCTTTGTAGAGATTCAGAAAAGATTACCCATTTTAAACAAAATTTGCATATTGTAAAAGGTAAGAGTTCCTATGCATAGGCCAGTGCATATGTGTAAGCAGGCACTGGTGTGGCTGAAGCAAGAATGTTAGAGTGAGTGTCCAGCGAGTCGGGTTCAAAGGCATTTCTGTATGGACTAGGCCAGCTAAGGATATAGCATCCTCTCAAATAAAGTAAGTAGAAATCTGGGTATTGTTGATATTATCCCCAAATAACTTATTATTAAATGCTTATTAGATGTTTCTATAATTTATATGGTTCTTTCCTCTTCAAAGTTAACATATATAGATACTTGATAATACCATTTATCTGAGTAGTAATTACATTAGTGAACATTTTTCTTTGCTTCCTGCATGTTTATGGTTCAATAGATATTGAAATCTATAAGAAATCCTTAAATATGGCATAAATGAGGCTTTTCTCGAAGGATGCTTTTTAAGCACAGATTTGGAATATGAGTACAGTTGATTTACATAAAAGTAAGAAAGAATTACAATGAAAAGAAATTATAAGCTTTAAGATGACACATATGAAGATATTGTTGGACCTCTAATTGATAGCCTACCCAACCTTAAACTAATGAAAAAAGGACAATTTGTGAACAAAATTTGCATGAATGGCATCAGATTGAAGAGAGGATCAAACACATTCCAAATTTCAAGTAGCTCACGTGCAGAGGGCCCATTGCATTGGTTTGCTTTCTGTCACTAAGATAAAGACAGTGTGATGAAGGATAGCTCAGCTTACAGCCATGAAGAAATGTCAGGACTTGAACTCAGGCAGGAACCTGGTGGCCAGAACTGATTTAGGAGTCATAAGTAGATATTGCTTAAAGCCCTGCTCTCTGTGGCTCACTGAGCTTGATATTTTATATCATCTATGATGACCGCTCAGTGTGGCACCATCCACAAAAGTCTGGATCATCCCACACCAACCATTAACCAAGAAAATACTCCCACATACTTGCCTACAGGGCAATCTGATGGACACATTTTCTCAGCTGAGGTTCCCTCTTCCTGGAGGACTCTAGCTTTTGTCAAATTGATGAAAAAACATATCAGCACACGCATAAATTACATTTAAGTACTTCATACAGATATCTGAAAAGTAAATGGACTGGTGTAAGCTACAAAAACATGGAAAATGATTATAAAATTATAAAATACACATTTTGGCCTAGCCTTAAATAGTAGCACCAAAACCAATTTACTAATCTACACATGTATTTTTATCTGATTTTGAACATAAAGTTAGGAAATGGAAAATTTTAAATGTGCTAAATTTGTAACAAAGGGACAAGTGAAATATAATTATTGAACTGTGAATGAAAAGGAAGACAATTTTTCTTATGGTTCTTATCCACAACCTAGATGTGACATGCTGTTTAATGTCCTAATTTTTGCAAGGATCATAGAACAGTTAATGTTAAAGATTTGGAACACATGCAGTTAGACATAGATGCAAAAAAAGGCAGCAGAAATAAGTTTATTATGCATAGGAGGCTTAATAATAACTTATTTAATGTCAAATTGAAAACATGAACTTCCATGAAAACAGACTAGTATAAATAAAATATGATATTTTAATATCACATACCTGCAAACCAGAAATTGAAAGGTAGAGTCAGGAAAATTAAGAATTCAATGTCATCCTTGCCTTGATAGTAAGTTTGAGGCAAACTTGGACTACCTGAGACCCTGCTCAAAATAACAAATATAAATAAAAACAAATGAATGATTATATGTACTCCCTATTTTCTAAGTACAATTGTTATAAGATTAAACACCAGTCAACAAAAATATTCTTTTGAAAATCATCAAGCCTTGTGCAGCTAATAATTACTTGCCGGGTAAAGAAAGACAAAAAAATCTCATAAGGATACGTGAATGACTTACAGAAGCCTAGATTAGTTATGTTTCCCTAAATCAGTAGAACATTTCATGGTAATTTTTATTTTCTTTTACATATTAACTATTATGTATATGTATGCACACTAAGGCACATGTATGAAGGTCAAAGGTAAACTTCTTAGAATCTGTTCTCTCCTTCCACCCAGTTGGTTTTAGGGATCCAATTCAGGTTGTCAGGCTTAGTGGCAACATTCCCTACCTGCTGAGCTTTCTCATTGAACCCTATAGTACGTAGTGTTATTGTCTATTTTTTTTCTTAGAGTTTCAACTTCCTTTTATTAGCTTATACCAAAGACGTTTCTTAATTTCTTAGACTATTCATGGTAAATAATGATTATATATGCAACTTTAGACATCAAATTAAAACAAGGCATTGTCACTGATTCAACTACAATAATCTCATTCCTTGGGATCCAGATCTTTTTCTAAATTAGCACTTCCTCAAAAGTCCTATGATCCCACCTTGATGTCTGTCAATTGGTTCTCCAATTCCTAAGGTCTCTGTTTTGTTTTTACCTTCCTTTTCCTTATTAAGTTCTAATGTTCATTACACTAACTTATTATTATCTCAACACGTTTATTTGCTAATCCTCCAGGCACAATTATAACTGCTTTTTTGTCTACAGATTACTGAATGTGTGTAAATACTTCACATGTAATTCTTTATATTTTTTCTCCAAATTATGATCATGTGCAATATTATATTCTTTTTTTTATTTTTTATTATTATTATTATTTTACAACACCATTCAGTTCAACATAATAGCCACAGATTCCCCTGTTCTCCCCCTCTCGCCCACCCCTTCCCCCAGCCCACCCCCCATTCCCACCTCCTCCAGATCAAGGTCTCCC